CGGGGTACACTCTTTCACGTGAACAAATCGAGGAAAAACAATGCTCACGGAGGAAAATGCAGCGCAAAACAAGGCTAAGATTCTGAGGTCAAATCGACCTTTGAACCCCACTTTGTGCGTACAAAACCGCTATTGCCTATGCTAAATCCTCAGGTTAGCTGTTTGAAGGCTGGGAGTAATCGATCAGCGACATGATATGAAGTATCCACAAATCTATCGGTAGCTTGGCAACGCACTACAATTTCACCAAGTTACCAAAAGTCTGCTGTTGCAGTAGTCCATTCTCGTGAAGGGGATATCTGACTATAGAATAAGTGAAGACGCCTCAACATTTTTAGAGAAGGTTTCGATATAATGCTTAGATTGACTTGATTGATATCCTAGACAGAAATCTTAAGATGAGTGGACGAAAACTCTAAGAGCTTCACCCAACGGAGCACTTCAACCACCTTTTGACTTTCCGTTGAGCTATGGAAGGATTCCAATTGATCGATCGAAAACTTGTGAAAAAAGCCAGAAATTCTTGACACGGAAAAGTAACAATTCGGAAACCGTAAATCGACTGGTGTCGGATTAAGATCGACCACTTGAAGTTATACCAAATACTATTGAAACTTCGGCTGAACATGTGGTTTGATGTCTCATGTATGGACGAACTTTCTCAGCTATTCTATGTGTCGGTAATTAGTCCGGATCAGTAGCCTACTCCAAGACAACATACCACCGGCGCGTTCACCCTAGCCAATCATGTGTTCACCCTTAACATCGAACAACTCATTCGCCCAAATGATTATGTACGTTGTGCTGGTGCTGAACTACCATCGATTCTCTAGAATAACTCACCTCCTGATAATTTGTGACCGAACAGTTCAGTCTGGGCATTTAAGAAACGCTTAAGTAATGTAAGAGATGTCTCAAGGCATGCAGTCGCCCAATGCACTGGTGGTGATGGACATTAGGGAAAAAGAGTGGGAATCTAACTCACAACAGTCTGTATTAAACGAAACCTGAGAAGAAATAGAGAGCCTTATCTGAATTCTACAACAAGCCGAAAAGTTACACTGGATCTATTACAACGCACCTCATTGTGTACATACGCTTCACATTCGTAGCACCAAGATGAAAGGTCCGCAAAACTGAGGACCAACGGATGTCGAGTAGATGTGAAGTGTTCCACCATATGTGAATTCGCATATCGACCGCAAAACACCTGATGGTCAAATACAAAACGGTATAGCGAAGAAATGGAACGATAACAATAGGACTTTCTTGCATATCAGACAGAAATGAAGATTGACCTGGGTAATGGGAGTGATGAGATAAACGATGGGCGTTTTGACGCCAACTACACTCTTCGTTAGCTCTTCAATCTACAGACAAGTTTGCCATTCGAGCAATCCAAAAAAACAACTGAAATAACCCGTATAATAAGCTCCCGTCTAGAGAGCTGAGGCACCAAAATAACACTTGGATAATTCTCCGTAAATGGTTTCTGTCTCAAGACTGTGCGCTGTACATAACCAATTCTGTAGACTGTGAGGAAGAGTAGTAAACGATGGTGAAGTAAAGCAAAGACGAAGTGTAGCCCGGTCTAGCAAGAATCCAGGCATCATTATTGGTAATCAAAAGATGGTATATCGTTACACGTCTTTCACTTTCTATACACACTCGGATGAAGCGTAGAAAAGCGCACAAACGAAAATACGGGACGGTGAGCCTAGGAACGGAGATAAAATGTATGATAATATGCAGCAACTTAGGTCCTAACAGCGTAGGTTGCACCCGATCAGTGGACGCAGAACCCAACTATCGCTCCGTCTTCAGAAAATTGTTATATCTATTTTCCGAGAGTAGCAGTAACACATGTATCACGGGAGGCTGGCTAATCATGGCCATCATATCACAGCAACAGATAAACTAAATAGCAGCAACAAGGTAAAGCAGCATATTGAAACATGCATTGAACGGCAAGTTGCTCCACTTGTTCCTTCCACAAGTGGATTTTGATTTGTATCATCGATGCGATGAATGAGAAACTTACAGAAACCCAAAAGAGAGGAGTATAATCTTGGATAGAAAGTGCTGGAAATCAAAATAAACCAAAATTCTGGAAACTCATAACTCTCCAACACCCTTACCGAATAGCAAGTCAAGCAAACCCAATTCTCCGTTTGATTCGTACAACGATTGCATGTTTCTCGGATATTGGGATTCCATTCTGGATTGTTGTGCACCGACGTCAGATGCGGACACCATGAGAGGGGAGTGACAGCAAACAAACGCTCTGGGAGTTGCTGACTTGACTCCTGAGAAAAGAGAGACGAGTATAGTGTTTAGAGCACAAGGTGCGGGCAGTTCCGACACTGTTCTGAAGAGGCTACGACCTGTGGTCAGACAGTACCGCCTTGTATGTTGGCGCCTATCGAACTAGTACAAGAAGTCAGTCGACCTTCTGAGTTGTAGAAAGTAGATTGTATGGAGGAAATCTAAATGAACAGAAATAATATATTTTGTTTTATAGAGAATTCAGACAAATCTATTTATGACAGTCTAACAAGAAAGGTAAGAGAAATCCACATTAAAAATGCGTAATTCGTGGTAACCACTGATTTAGAATCCAAATTCAACTTTTATCTGCAGCATGATATGAATTTTTCAGGCAAGACATAACGTCCAATACTGTCAAAGGATGAACAATCCGATAATAATGAGTGCCACTACGGAATAACAGGCAGCTTTACGTTTCAGTACGAACAGCACACAGTGTCACGCATATAAATAACTAGTAATGGTGAGGCGCAATAAAGTCTTATTCAGGTAGACACTTACCAAGCCAAAAAAGGCGTGCATATCCTCCGTTTCAATGCTGGCAACATTCATCAAGTCTTGCAACGTAGCTATGGCAACCACCTGATTCCCCGCAGAAGCGATCGGCGTCGAGCTCGACTGTGCATGGCCTGAAGCACCAGCCGCATTGGTAAGTGTTAGTCGGTGCTGCACTGGGGAGGGCACATCCGATGCCAGGCTGGATCGGTCGCTCTGTCCAGTATTTGGTGAGGCAACTAAAAAAGAGGAAAACAAAACCCTAGAACTCAGTGTGAATTATTCTAATCAAACGTCATCCCGGGTCACAAGCATCTCAGCGACAGGTAAAAAAAAAAAACAAGGAAGCCCAATACAGTTGCAACAGCAGCAGGCTGGTCGGAAAATCATGTGAAGACAACGATGTGAGACTCATTTGAACAAGGTATTAAATTTAACTTAGAAGGGTATGACGGGATTACATACGAAAAACTTCGTTCGCGTAGCACAAATACTCTAATTTGCATACAAATTTGGTTTTGACGAGAGGCTCAGATGAATTCAGCTGAATCTCTCATTCATAATGGTTCCGCCCCGTACCGAGCTAACCACGACAATCTCCATAAATTTCGGTTCCTCTTTTGCCTTGTTTTTAAGGCCTCAGGATTGAATCACCACAAAAGAAACCCAAGCGGTAAGAGCAGGTGAACGTACCTAATGTTTTGAGGAATACCAGTAGTAATAAGCAGCAAGACGATACAAACCAGACGCAGGGAACGAGATAATTCAAAGTTCATTCTGATGACTTACCTCGCATCTGTGTGAATTCATCGATTAGTTGGGGTAAGTTGACTGTACCTTGCAAGGTGGCGGAGGAAGACGAAGGAATAACACTTGTAGATGCCACATGCCCTGCACTCATGTGACTATTGAAGAGATCGGTGCCCAAATCTTGCAAGGTTTCCTGTTCCGTCGCAGCGGGGACCCGAGCAGCAACACCATTTGTAGGAACTGAAGTCGATACACTGCCAATGCCAATGGGACTGGTGACCGCTAGAGAAAAGGATGGGGAAATCGGAGCGGCTGGATGGCTGAGCGGCGATCCTACACTGCGAGACGCTCCATCACTTAGACTGAGGTCTTCCAGTCGAGATTGAATCTCAGTTTCCAGCTGTCCGGTAAATGCCAATGCCGACTGCGAACCTATGTGATGCTCGCTGGAGCCACTGAGACGGCCGGATTCGTCAGTTATGAGTTGTCCACGTACCGGACCTAAACGTAACGCAAAGCGGAGTGTGACGATAAATCCAAAATACTCCTGATTTTATCATGCTAACGAGTATAAAAGCAAGAACTCAAGAGATTAAATGATGGCAAAAACCCACCATAACCTTGAACTGATTTCCAATACGTTTCTTGTGTGCATAAACTTCGTCGGATGGCTCTACACCCCCTGGAGAGACAAATGGGAAATGCACTGGAATTGATGTCACATAGAATAATGTGCAAAAATAGATATAGCGCAGAAAACGTAAAACGTACTCGGCCGAAAAACCATCCTGAATGAATAACAATCCAAGGCTGTTGATCTCAAGTCCATTTGAAGAATGAGGGAATATTATCTTATATTACGGGCAAGTGAAGATAAGCTCCAGGAAGCACGAAAACTAGGCAAGTTGCTCAGTCTTCATGGTGAGACAGGCTAATTATGGCGAGCATTTTGTTCGATTCAGTTCGCAGCACCTTTTTAGAGCTTTTACGTAAATTTTCCATAACTTACCATCTACACAGAGATTCGACGAGAAATAGTAGAATGCGGTGGAGCAGAACGGCTCTGGGCCCCTCCTTTGGAATGGCATCTATTAGGAGGGGATTACCCTAACAAAATGAAATTGCATATTTCCAAGACTTTCAAATAAGCCTGCCATTTTAGTTTGACAGGCTTCATTACTACTCGGTGAGACTTAAACATCGATAAGTTCTGTGGCTTCTCACCGGTAAATTATCTTTATTATCTTTGTCCATCCTCTCTTGCCAAGACTTCCTTACGACTCAGCAAGATCCCCGAAAAGACCTTTGAACCACTGTCTCAAAGCCCAGTGGGAAAAGTAGTGGCAAAAGAAATAACATGGAAAATGACTGGTGTATCGTCTGACAAAAGTCATACAATGTACATGAGAGGCAGAAGTTCCGGAAGAATGGCAGATATCCCCATTCGTTACTATCCTTAAAAAGGTGCCATATCTGAATCTAGGGTTCCAGTAGAGTAACCAACACTTCCAGGGAAATTACAGGTATCACCCATATGTGCTTACCGACTATGGCCAGATACAGCTGTGAGAACCAACCCGGGTTCCACCAAGGTCAAGGATGCGTTGGCCACATTTGCACGTTGTAACGACATCTCGGACACAGGTGTACCTACACAAGTCATCTTTTTGCATTCAAATGCAGCAGATCAGGCTTAATCACGGCGGCTACGCTTACTTCTCACACCTTTACAATCTTTATACTCCAGCACCAATAGGCGCGTCGAACGCTAGTTGGATACTATTCTTTTAGGTTCACCATAAAGCGGTGTTCACTAGGGCTGCAGTTCTTTGACGAATCGCATCTCGAAGAAACCTTTGCCACGTCTATTACCTCCGACATGGAGACTCATTCTGACGGAATTTTGAAGACTGTACGCAGATAATGTCGCACTGTCTGAGTCAGATTCCAATCAGATAAAAAGCACCTAAGTAATGTCACCATGCGATTCGATATATGTTACGCGACTTCAAAGTGTAAAGTGCTATTTGCAAGACCGCGTGAATACACAACCGAGTTGGTAATGGCATCTGAACCACTAGAGACAGTGGTCGGATTTATCTGTCTGGGCAGATGCATCATATACAGTGGCAGCACTTCTAACGAAGTAAATGCCAGAAATACCAAAGCTTGTCTTCCACGAATTGAACACCTCTGAGGTCTGCGAAAGTCGGCGTTCACAAAGCGATTGTGCAACTAGTGTTGCTCTGGGATTGTGAGCCTTCGGCACCGTATATTGAAGATCACTGGCTCCTTCGAGACAGTGCACGTATACCATGGGAACGTTGGATTAACAATTCTGAAGTGTGTTAAGTCAAGTGTCTGTTCGGTTCCACCGACTACATTGGCCCGATCATGAGCATCGTACGCCAGGTCGAGTGCCGCGCCATGTTCCGATTAGCCGATAACCACAGAGGGCAAAACATGACCTAGAGGAGGATGAAAAACACAAAGAGCACTTCGTAAAGGAAGCTACTCACAAGGTAGTTGGAAACCCCTTGACAACCCATGACCGTATTCGCCCTTCTTGGGGCTCATCAGGTAGGCTCAATCCACGAGCTTCCGTCAACCTTAGAGTCTAATTGAACGCAGATTGCAGAAATTCGACAAATACACTCACCCACACATCAATTTAGTTTTCACGAGAGATTCATCTGAAACCCAACCGAGTATCACAGAATATCAAAGAGATTCAGCTGGGTTTCAGGTGTCTTCCGTGAAAACCAAATCAGTATGTAAATGAGTGAATCTGTCAAATGTCGGGTAATTTGGGTTCAAGGTTGGAGGAAACTTGGGGACCGTGCCTACTTGATGAGTACCAAGAAGGTAGAAACCAGTCACAGGCTGTCGAAGAGTTTTCATCAACCGTGTGAGTAATCCCCTTAATGAGATATATTCCGATGTCTCGAATATTATACCAACCGAAATATGAGGCGGCCTTTGTGCAGCACATTCAGTTGAGGAATATCATGGAGGAGATATCCAAATGGGTTTCAGGTGAGCATTCCATGAAAACCGAAATGGTATGCAAATCAAACATTTTCTCTTGTCTGCAAGGTCGGAGTCTCATTGAAACACGCCAACGGTTGCGGGCATCCATTGACAATCGGTGGCGCTGTCTTATTTACAATTATTAATCTTGTTACTTTATTGTTCTTATTTATCTCATGCGTCCGCGACTTCCTTTATTCTTCCACTGCCACAAGGCGTGGGGACTATCGCAAACAGATTCACGTGCCCAAACTGAAGTAACCGGAATCCCCGCTGGCTGGTTCACCTTGCTTTCCCCTGCAATGAAAGTGAGACTACTGAATGGGCAAACGTGTTCCTGCTTTACTGGTGTGAGCTCACCAGAGAGATCCTGATCGATCTTATTGTCTGCGAGCACTTTGAAGGGATGATCTACCTGATCATTTTTACTCCTTGTACAGCGATTTATTCAAAGCAAGCTCGACATCGTGAGCAAGCCTTAAAGGTATCATTCAGTAGTACGCCGACCGATAGAAGCGTTGGTGTGTCTCATTATGCGTTTTCGAAGGTAGTCTGTACCATTAGCCCTTAAGAACCACCCGTATCTCAACGTTTCCCCCAAAAATGACCATTCTTTACACCAGATGTTCAGTAACTTTGATTCTGAAATCCGAAAATTGCAGTGCTGGAAATTCACCTCACGGGATGCATGAAAATTTTCTTGACTATACAGGACTTGACAATATCCATCATAAGCATTAGGTACTATTTTACGCCCTCAAACAAGTTAATTTCAAGACTTCCGTGTATTTTAAACGAATTATAAGTAACCTCATTGCCCAGTATCAATCAATGAACATTTTGTTGCAGGGATAGGCATTTCAAGTACATATGATTCCGGATTCTAGTCATACACCTTGAGCACACTCAAGTTTAGGACTCAAACCCAGATAAAGCAACTCACTTCTCGGTCGGCGAAAGGCCGAAAGCCAACCTGGGACAACAGTCACCAAGTAAGCTGGCAACAGAGTGACACATGGCTTCTGCAGTGGCGGCGAGGTGGTATCCGCCTTCGAGGGCCAGTATGAGACCGCCGGTAAAGGTGCGCTGTTGTTGGGCCAGCCGATGCCGCGTCTGACGCACGGGGGTAGATATCTGTGAATCCGTTTTATCATCCGTCACACTTTTGGCGGGACACAAGTAAGCAGCTGTGAGAAGTAGGTGTGTGAGGTGGGCAAAACACTCCGGCGAAACACCCAAACCACCCTGGAGAATTAAGTCAACAACGAGTCCAGTGTTAAAACACACCATAACGGTCGAATGAGAAAGCGAAAAAATTGAACAAACAACGAGAACACAATTCTCGGTGTAAACAGTTCAGTTTCATGAAAAAATAATCAATTAATCGTTGCGTAACGAAGGCTGACTTTTTACTCGTTTGGTTTCACAAGTGTGCTGATTAGACCATACATCAGTGAAGTTGGGATTGATATTCTCTCACACTTACCAAGCGATCACCACGAGCAGCATCGAACCCAGCAGAGACAAGGATGAGTTGCGGACGAAATTCGTACAATATAGGCAAAATAATATGAACGAAGACGGCAATGTACTCGCCATCTTTTACATGACGCTAAAAAAGAAGAGGAAATACGTCGAACTTCGAAGGTGTCGTCGATAATCAAGCGCGGAAGTTAAAACTCTGGAGTAAATCAACACAGTGGAAGGGAAAATGGAACGAAAAAAGGCATCAATTAAAAATTCGGACAGTTACAAGACGGAGAGCCGATTATAGGAGCCTGGATGGACTGAATCTGTAGGAGCTCATGAAAAAACCCTGGTGGCAGCCATGCATGAAGAGTGCCTCAAATGAGCGACCAGATTTTGATTTACATATTTACCCTAGCTACGGCAATGAAGCATTGGTGTTAAACACTGATGTCATGCTGTCGTTGATGATGATGATTTACCCTAGCTGATAGTCCCTTGAAATGCTAAAGGTTGCCACAAAACGGTTCGAACCATATTTGTGCAGTTGTATGCAGCGTATACGAAAGCAAGTAAGCTGGGTTCTTGCTTGAGCGCTGAATTAGAAGTAGGAAGGTACTAACAGCCCGGGTCCAATGAAGACATGGATTATTCTTCTACACAAGACACACAAAAGTTTATCAAATGTTGTACTCATTGGGACGATGGAAATTGTGGTTATTCTGAAACTGTACGATATCAATTTTTCACCAACATATGGTCACTACGTGAAAGCACCACCACAAGAATGACCATAGGAAATCTTGTGTTGAGTTTCCACGTCGAGAACCTAACTGCTGTGGACAAAGATCAAGTGGCTCATTATACCAAGAAATTCGTCGTAAAAAATCGACTGGAATTGTACATGGTGACATTTAACGGCACGGCCTTCGTTATTATGTATTTCAAGAGGTTTTTTGACGCCGCTCGAGTTTGTTTCTCTTGTTTGTTCGTCGGGTGATCCGAAGGTGAAGACATAAAATCTTCCCTACTTACAGTTTGTAGAAGCTCTGAGGATAAAGTCATCCAAAGCTCGAATGGAGTCAGTAAATACGATCCAGTAAAAAGACCGTTGCATATTGGTACGTTCCTCGTTTGTTTTCACTTGAAGTGGTAGACTATCGTACCCAATAAGCATGAACGACCCGGCCCTAACATCTGCCTAGTTAGGGAGAGATCTGGTCGCTCTAGTCGGTAATCGGAAGAAAACAAGAGTGGTTGATAGGCAAGCGGGTGAGGAACTGTTAAGTGACGAGCTGTGTTTTCCCCACCTCCCACGCAACGCCAGAGAAGCAGGCAAAATGCCCAGAAACGGTTGAATGTGGGAAAGACTTGATGATAATGAAAACACATATTGAGAAGCAGCACGAGTTCACCCTTTGAGTGCAGAGAGGACGACACAGTAGTAAAAAATGCAAATCTGTTAAAACCGGAAACACATGGTTTTTCGAAAAAAGCAACGGTGAACATACTACCGGAAGCCTTAACTATAGTGAAATAATAAGGCGAAGGGTGTCGCTATGTATGGGATGGTATATCTCATCCTATAGCCATCGTACTAGACGGTCGGGTGAAATACCCGCATTTAGTCTCATATGCTTGACTAAATGACACTTTCAAAGAGCGATAGCTTTTATGGAATTGAGTGCATTTTGTTTGAAGCTGGCATCGGATGAAGAGATCGGCCAATTGTTCTATGAAAATGCTGGCTTTTGTTTAAATCGTGGAAAGGGTTCGTCGATACCTCGGTCAGACTGAATAATACTGTCCAGTAATTCACAGGTGGAATGTCGAAGATGTTGGACGCGAGACATAAGGATAACAACCACAATATGTTGGAGACAATGTGAGGTGTGATAAGTTGCATGTTCTAAGCATGATTTGTAGAAAGTTCAACGCAGTATAACGACAGGACAACTGAATAGTAACCACCAGTGAATGTGCACGTTCACCATCAAGCACAGGTTACAAATCCTACCCCATTCCATGCAACCTGAACTGTTCGTCCAAGACCGTCCTCTGATCCACAAACGGTTGGATCAGCATCTGCAGTACCCGGGTAGTACCTGCCTTCATCGTACCGATGCACCGATATGAATAAGACACTGTGAAGTAGAGGCAATGATAAGGGAAATTAAGTCATGGAATGCGGCTACCTATCAAACAGCCACTAATGCAGACCAGCTTAGATATGGGAACGGTTTTATGCTCCAATAAAAAACTCATCGTTATGGTTCCAAATCAATATATATTCAACATTTGGGTACGAAACACTGAATACCCAGAAGAAACAACCGACATCGAGGACAATGAAGGAGTGAATGAAACATTGGCGTTTACATTAATTCGACTCCAATTAATGTCAAGTGCAAATAAGAATGATTCGTTCAGGAAATAACATTTCCATCGGGTCCAACATGGGAACCACTATCGATTTAAAAGTAGCCATGACTGCAAGAGACAGAACCGTTCAAAGCCAGCCCAGTCCAGGATGTGTCATTTAATCCCAACAAAACAAATCACAATGTTTGTCCGCTCGGCCTGTATCGAATGTTCTGGTGGTGTCATTTTCACAACTGCCAACCCCGACGATATCGTTTAACTTTACTTTTCCATATATAGAAAATTGTCCCTTGGATCTATTTAGATTTGTGAAAGTCGTTATTGCTTGGTCGCTTGGCTGTTCGCTGAGCTTGGTGACTGGATTTCACACGTTTCATCACCAATCGAGGAGATCATCAGTGAGGGGTTGAGTGAGTCACTCACCCAAAGCAAAGTAGCACACCCGAGCTACTTACATCCTGCAACATTCCCAATTACCACCGCATTTGTGTCGAGCTAGACAGATTGCAGAGTAAGCTTTCGAACTCCAAAACCAAAGCGTCAGAGATATGAATCCTAGCCTTATCTCTTGATGCCACCATATATACTGGGTCATAGTGCCTCCTAATGGAGGCACCGACTAGGACAAAAAATAGACGAATGTGACTGATACGGGAGCAATCAGTTCACTCAGGAGCTTGGTACTGGATTTCACACGTTTCATCACCAATCGAGGAGATCATCAGTGAGGGGTTGAGTGAGTCACTCACCCAAAGCAAAGTAGCACACCCGAGCTACTTACATCCTGCAACATTCCCAATTACCACCGCATTTGTGTCGAGCTAGACAGATTGCAGAGTAAGCTTTCGAACTCCAAAACCAAAGCGTCAGAGATATGAATCCTAGCCTTATCTCTTGATGCCACCATATATACTGGGTCATAGTGCCTCCTAATGGAGGCACCGACTAGGACAAAAAATAGACGAATGTGACTGATACGGGAGCAATCAGTTCACTCAGGTAAAATGGGCTTAGCAACTTGGACTGGGAGCAAAAGTACGAACAGCTGTTGGCATAAGACTTCCTGGCATGCAGCTGCATTGTTTTCACGCACATCGTAAAGTATCTGTGATAGGTGATTCGTTTGATACATAAAAGACGACAAGATTTCAGACAGCACAATCCGATGTTTCGGTTGCTGTAGACCATCCTTTTCAAAGGTGAAAACCTAATCAGGGAACATACATACCTTTGAGTCAGATAAAATGAATTTGGGTTGGAATAGTAGACGAAGTTGCTATCCGATTTGGGATTGAAGTGAGGGAGTGCGTGATTGAAATGTTATGCATACACAAAATAAGAAGAGGAACTAGGGAAAGGCTGCGATAGAATTTCACAATCACCGTGACGTGAAACCTCAGGGTATGTACTGAGTAACCGCATTTTTGTAAAGTTATCAAACACACAGCTGAAAATAGACAGGAGAATAAAAGGTCGATTAGAAGCCAAACTAAGATAAAAAAACCATTGTGGTCAAATGATTTTGTCGTAGCTGTTTTTGGTTCTTCCCCATCCAAAAGTCAGAATTTACGATTGTTCGCGCTTTACGATGAAAATGACAGAACTTGAGCCTTCAAAGCGGAGAGACCAAATAATCTTGCCGATGGATGAATAGCCTGATAATCCATAAAATCCCCAGGAGATAGTCCACAATCCAAAATAAAGTAGCATGTTTAGGATGACACCCATTTAGTGAAAATACACTAACCCAAAAACGACTGAGAAACACAGTGCACAGTGGTACGTACCTTGGATCGTTTTCAAATATCTTCTCCGTACCATTCCCATGATGCACGTCCCAATCGACTATGGCGATTCTGAGGGTAAGAGTATACGTATGTGACACTCGAAAAGTTGGTAGATCTTTCACAATAACCATTAGTTACACATTGTGCGTAGGCTCACCGCTCAAGACCATGGACCTGTTGTGCATGCTTCGCGCCCACCGCCACATTGTTGAAAAAGCAAAATCCCATACACTTATCAGTCAAGGCGTGATGTCCTGGGGGGCGGACCAGAGCAACTCCGTTTAAACTCTGTAAAAAAATGGATACCTTTTAGCAACCTCATGGGCAGTGTTTCACGTTGGGAAAACACATGGCCTTCGTATAGCTTATTCAGTTGAAGAATACCATGAATGGAATATTTGGCTTAGTTTTCTGTTAATATCAACCTAATTTGAAAATGAGTGTAGTTCACCAACTGCGTACAGATTGGTGTTCAAGCAGAACTTAAGATCAATGGAGACTCGGGGACTCACGCCTACGTGACGAGCCCCAAGAAAGACGAAACCGGTAGTGCACTGTCGAGAAGTTCCTAGCAATCTTACGAGTGGTGTATCATTTCAAGGGAATGTATAAAGCTTAAACCCACATGAGAACGAGGAAAAACGATGGAAGTGCGAATAAAATCAAGACCTACCTGGCCAGTACACACCTCATCTACTACAGCTAACACAGAACCGGCCGCCAGTCGGGCACAGTCGTACGTGTGCTGAAAAAGAGACAATGTTGAAAGGAGATTATTTGGACGACGAAGGCTCGTCAAGATAAGACGATTAAATGCGGAAATTACCCTGTTGAAGAATATGGAATTCTCCTCGTTTGACAAACTGTCCAGAGCGGTTTGATCCAGTGCGGCTGTTTTGGCTATCATGTCCACATAGGCTGCCGCGTGTACACGGCAGAGTTCCGTGCGAGTTGCATAACGGGCCTATTAGGAAGAATAAAACCTGATACAGGGGGTATTTGAAGAAAGGTTAAATAAGGAAACGCAAGGGTCAAACACTTCCGAGGGCGTACCGTTGGCGTCTTCCGACGAACTAACCAGACATCCCATCTTTTGGCACTTTAGAGCATTTGCAGTGAACTGGCACTAAATGCCTCCTCTCTACTTCAATTTCACAAATAAATCATGGTTGCTGTGGTGAAACCACGATATCTCTCACTGATATGTTGTTGGTGATTATGTTGGTAATGACTGTGGTCAGTTTGCGACTGGTCAGGCTAGATCTGTCCTAGTTTGGCTCTTCAAGAGAGGCATCCATTCTTAGTCGCGTTTGCGGAGAACGTGTAACACAGTGTCGGGAAACACGACATACATTTTTGGGACAGTGACGGAAATCCCCTCCGTCAGCGTCAAGGTTAGTATACCTTGCGGCCCAGAATCCCCCCATTCGATGAGACTGCTTTTAGTATAACCAAATTTTTTGCGTCACACTTGGAAGGTTCCAATTAAGTGCTCAAGTCCATATAGTTGCGTGCTGAAGAATGAAACAAGCCAACTGAAAGTGCAGCTGAGTACAGAAAGTGCAACGCTACATGTGGTCAAAGGGCGTAACTCACCTCAACGCGTTTACACCGACGAGCCAATCCATATTCATCTAGAAGCTCATAAGTACGGCGTATTCGGCTCGGTGCTTCTGGATGATTTCTGTGCATCAGAAAGCAAGAGAACACGAAAGATAGACGTCACAATGGAAATATGAGCAACTGTTAGAAGTGAGGCATACACTGCACTCGAGGAAACGCGAGTACTGTAACGAGTGAGGGTGAACACAACTGAGTGATACAACTAAAGATTGATGTGTTAGAGGAGGTTTGTTTTTTTTGTATGGAGACTTCACCCCGTAAGTGAAGCAAATCTATACTGAAAAGCGGAGAAACACTGCTTCTCGTCACACTACCAACAATCTATAAACAGCCCAGTGGAAGAATAAACTTCACCCGATAAGTGAAAATTCCATTTGAGAAGTTGTTGCTGGAGGAGCCAGTCAACACGTGTGACCGCGTGATGTGGATTGAAGGATGAGCGGCGCTATATCCTGTCTAAGTGCGAGTTAATCACACTGCTGATCAGCCGCTGGTGGCCGAACGGTTAAGTGCTGACCTACTAGCCAGGAGATCGATGACTCGGGACTCTCCGGAGTTTCGTGAGATGCGCATTGCCGATGATTCCCAATAAGGATGAAACAGCTGTGCGGTGATTCTCGGCCTTTCAGTATAGATCGCCTTCACTTAGAGGTTGAAATCTCCACTCAGAAACCATGCGTTCCAGAGCAAGCCTGACTCACATACAGCTGTTCAAATTGTCATAGAAGACAATATGCCCATGAGACTAACAATGGGTGTTACCAGTGACAATCTGGCAAAGCGCGATCTAGTAAACAAGTCGAAATTGCTGACCGAGTAGTGTAGTTTTAGTCATTTTAAAAAAGCATGCTACATTAACATATGATGGAATCTCAAATCTAGATTTATCTTCTGATTAAGGCTATGCTAAAAAACGAGGAGCATTATACGGCACGTCTTCGTTGGAAGCACCGAATGGATTTGTGGAAGCATGCAACTACTGGATATCCTCACAATCTACGAAATACGGGCTGTCTGCTCAGAAAGGAAATACCCCAAAATGGTCGCCAGGGTATTTTGTCTAAGTTACTGTCACTCGAGGCAGCTAACAGCGGACTATGTGATGTACGCGGTGTGATTGAAGGACGAGTGGTAGTGCACCACTGCCAACCATAGTTAAAGTTTATTGCTTAGAGCCTTATTCGAAAAATTACAAACTCAAATCTTTCTGAAGGTTCATGCGATGCGCACTGTGTATACTTTCTAATGAGTATAGACAGTGCCTCTCAGGGATTCATCGCAGGTTATATTCACTCGTAGGATCAAGGAACTTCAAAATTTCACTACCCCCAAAATATGAAAGAGCCCTCTAAAGAAAAGAAAAGCCGAGATCCAATGTTGAATGCGCGCCACACCCAAAACAGGCATTAATCCCCAGAAGGAAACAGTGGTCAACTTTACTTAGACATTCCCCAGTTTCCACTGTCGCTTGTTTGCCCCGAGAAAAAAACGTTCAGCTGTAGCAGCCTTCCGGTGCCTAGCTGCCATGCCACCCGAAGGAGGCATGAGGGCTGAGATAGTCCCATGTCGCCCAAGCCTAGACAGAGAAACTCGAGAGGCAGATGTCGGGTTCGAACCACGGACCTTCCGGTCAGTAAATTCGCGCTCTAACCACTTGGGCCATCTTGCCCCGAAGGGTGGTCTGATCCAAAACTTCATGCGTCAGGTATGTAAATTTCAGAAAATGTGCGACAAAAGGTGAACATACAGATTAGGTGTCTTCTTATCATTAAGAGAGATGTAGTTGGTCTGCCTATTCATCAGTAGTGATCCATTCATAGTAAACCTCTGTCATCAATACCGAACCTACTCATCACGCGCATCAATGATGAAGATTCGTACGAGTCCCTGAATACTAGAAACAGACATTCAGTGACCCGCCAAGGACTCATCTCAGAGGAGCTACTTTCAATCAAATATGATTTCAAAAAATGAGTAAACTTGAAACGCAGATGAGCAGTACCAAAAGAAGGGGCGGTACGTGGGCATTAAAATCTTCACCAGCTGTAGCCACAACACGATCTAATGCGAAGAGAATTCAATCACTGACTGACGCCATAATATTCAACGACTCGAACATAGCTGACTTACGGGTCTTCCTCATTCTTGTGATTCTCCATTCGACTATCATAGACAATACAAGTGCTGGAAAAATAGTTGAGAAGTACGGGAAAGTAAGGACCTCGCAAGTTGAGAGTGGAGATGATACTGTTGAGAGAAAATCATAATTACGGTTCTATTTTATGTCTGGTGACACAACTGGGCAAACAATCAAGCAATGGATGAAAGTACAGACAAAACCAACAGTTCAAGCCGTATCCGAAATTTGTACGGAAGCTATTCCCATAAAGGCGAACACGATGAAGTGGGCGATTTCAACCCCCGATTATATGCAGCTGTGAAAAAAAAACTGTGAAAGTTGGGTTTTTGGAAAAGGCCGTGGAGTTGTCGCTAGGGGGAAATTTGCCAGAGGTCTACAGAAACTCAGCATCGGACTCATTTCCAAACCACACACGGGCAAACAAAGAGGGTTTCGGAGCAACAGCTACTCACCGATGTAAGGTCAATTAAGGCATGTTACATAACCAAGCAGCTGTTCGTGACCCAAACACCAATCCAAGAATGATACAGATGAAGTTAAAAACTCGAGTTCAAGCCACTTAGATCTTGTCTTTCACCTCTGTTGATGTTGGTTACCCACATTACCGCTTCTCCTAGCCAGAAATGACAGTTTTTCTCGGTAGACGCTTACGCTCGGTTCAATGATGGTTAGTTGGTTTCTGCGTCAGAATAGATGACAAAATAGCATAGTAATTTCGGAGCCGGATTAGGTCAACTGCGCTCTAAAGAATGGCGTGGGAACTCGTACAAAGAACCCGAAATCAAACGAAATGACGTCAAACTACCGGTTGCTTTGGTTACTGTGTAAGGAAATATCCATTATTCAACCTGTAAACCGGAGTTCTTCGACTTCCAACTTTTCGCTACAGTCCCATTCATGGAATAAATCCACTTCAGTAAAATCGCGAATGATGTAAGCATGACAGGTAGCAGCATCCGCGCTCTCACAAATACCATACTTTCTGAAAGGGGAAACAGTCACTCAGATAAAATCCGCGCACTGCAACCTGTTCGTTGAAACTAAATTTCTCAGCTTTATATTCAGGAAGCACTTAATTTGGACTACGTAACTAAGCAAACACCACTCAGTTTACTCGGCTCCCAAATAATGCGCCTTAACGGATTCATTCATGATGGTGGACCTGGGTGGACCGAATAAACAACGAAACGGCCCGATCCACTAGGTGATGTCTGCTGACGATATTACTTAGCCGGAAATGCTGGGTCTGAAGGAAGGGTTTTCGGTGGTTCTGGTGGGTGATTGCAACTTCATGTAGGAGTTATGCGATTTTTTGCAAAGTGACACTTGAGATCGTCTGATGTAGTCTATGAGGACAATCGACAGTTCCTGTACTACAGTCATTTCCAACGCAGTTTTTGTCGAAGTTTCACTTGGCGCCCTTCATTATCTAATCAGTCGTGGACACAAACAGACCACATTGCAATCAGTTTTCGATGGCAAGGATGTGTGCAGGACATCAAGCCTTTTTGAAACAGCTATTACGACCCTGATCAAACCCTGGCTTACGAAGAAATCACTGCTGACTTCGATAAACGTCCCAGAAAAAATCGGCTAAACGACTGGATGCAGCCCAGTTAATAAAGCACAGCACATCTCGCAGCCTTGTGTACTCGTCCTATCAGCGACAAACCGAAACCTTGACGGTGACAGATGATGAGCTTGATAAACACCGCGCGGACTTTGGCAATGCGATTGTTTACTTCATCTTTCAGGTAAGCAGTTCTCCCTAGGTATGCGTAGTTTTCGATCAATTCGAGCGTGTCTCCATCGGCAGGGAGAGTGTATGGGTATTTCATCTGATCACTCTAGTAACATCACTTTAAACTCTCGTGAAGAGGAACTCAATTCAAAACGATGGGAAGCGTCAGCTTGTTACTGGTATTCTGTGCCCTATTCTAACCATCACAAATCGGTACTATGTGGTATGCGTACTCTAGTTCTCAAACTGGTTGCCCTGTTAGTGGTTCAGCAACGTCGTGTGCCGGTGTATCAAACAATTTGTTCGTAACGTCGTCGGTGACAAAATTAAATAGACATGCAGACATTGGGCGGCCTTGTCAAACACCGCTCGAAATGATAAAACGTGAAGCTAATACGCTCGAACTTGTCCAAAAGTGTGCGCATAGAGAGCCTTTAGGGTGTCAACGAATTCTGAAGGAATTCGTTTGATGAGACAGTTCACAAGATGGTCCTACCGTCGGCGTCAAAGATGCTTTCTCTGTCAAGTAAGACGCGAACAGACGGTCCTCGGTATGTGTGGTGCAGTTCCATCGATGGCCCGGCCGGGACCCTGTCTGTTTTTCATGGGTTGATTGTTTACGCACCGAGCTTCGTTCATGAAGCACAACAGATACCACGATTTTAGAAGCGACGCTGACGAGGCCGACACCAGGGTGGCTGATGTAGGGGGTGCTTTGATCCTTCTTATTAATAGGGACGATGGTAGCATATTTTTCTCCAGCGATCCCAATGCCGTTCAACAAGAAAGGAAGTTGACAGAAGTATTTTGCCCAAAGCCCAATGCGTCTTGATATTCAAGTTATGAGTTCAGCACTTTCTTCACTGATTGTTTCAGGTTGTTTTCTACGGTTAACCCAACTAATTGAAATAAATTCCTTGAATTCCAACAGCAGATGTAGCTTCCATCTCGATCGCAAGGTCGAATAACCACTCTTCACGGACTTTAATGATATTCTCAGTAGTCGTTGGGTGGCTTAAGCGCCGGGTTGTATCCATGATCAACAGGAATAGCTTGTGGAGGACCAAGCGATCCGAGAAACCGAGCAGATATCCGAGGAACACCCCGTTGTCGAGTAGTAGAGTCAGTAAGGCATCCCGGTTGAGTGACCGACACTGTGGTGTCAGCAGGAGTTGGCTGTGACATATAAGGGCAGCTAAGCTTAATATATGTTCTGTAATTCGATGGCTGACGTCTCAGAACCATCGCTAGAATCGGTCGGAATCAGCGGATTTATAATGAAATCAACAGCAAACAGGTCTCCGGTGAAGCAGGTATTTCACTTAACTAATGCACCAAACATTGAAAGCTAAGGTGACATGGTCATTTTATGCATGCCAAGTTATGGCCTGTAGAGAATATCGTTTTCCGTTATCGTGGAAACCTAGAGGTGAGTGCAGTATGATATGGCAGGGGGGAATGAAGGATTTTATGAAACGCCTGGATGCTGTTCGTCTCCAGGGCGGAGTCCACGTGACCATTTTTATGCTCAGCTTAAGACACTGTAAGACACGGTAGCTGAACGACGCTAGTCGCGTTCATTCTGCAGTCCCTGTCTAGATAGTCTGATTGCGTTTTGGAGATATAGACACCGCAGACATTTGTGACAAGCCAGGCCTCGGTACCGTTCCCAGTCCCGTTTGTTCTTGTCCATTACAAAATGGTATGGTTTTATCGCAGTGAATCACCAACCAGAGAATTGGTATTGCCGTCAATAATGATAAATGCATATATTTCGTGAAGTCCTGACAGCTCATCTATTTATGGCAAAGAGGCTATCCAAATCTATTTCAGAATGCACGACCTGAAGAAAAAACGAAACCCAAATCTGACTAACCTTGGAAAATGTTTATGGAGGGCCACAGGGTGAGTGCGCTTCAAATAGGACATATGCTGGTCAATTCGGATAGCATCCTCTGGGTCATGTATATGTTTCTCCGGCTTCATTATGGGGACTTTAACGTCCAACCTGGAAGCAGCATAGAACGACAACATTGAGACGGACCGGCACGACTAAAGGTGGCATAACCTTAAAATCGAACGGCATAACATGAATATGGCTTACGAAGGCACCGTGGCGGTTCTCGCTTTCCTTGCTCGTGTGTGGGGCATGGGGTTGAGGAGAAAGAAACTTAGTTTGACGAAAGAAACTCGGTGCGAAAACCAGCATGCGATGAAACGAATGTGTCCATTCACCTCGAAGAAAAAATCTGCCTTCTGTGGATATAAAGTGTAGTTTTACAGGCCATTCCAAGGAACTTGATCCATAAGTAACATCAGGTGGAATGTGCCAGACAGGTGCGGTGCTCCTCTCCCTTGAAAAAAACACGCTCCCCAAAAGAGGGTGCTTTCTCGTGTGAAAGACACCCAGTATGAACCATGTCTCAAGCTTCCAGTATCGAGGTATTCCCGAGAATTTAAAATAGCATCTGTGCGCGTTCGAGTGGATATGTGGCTTCGTCTAAACTAAATGCCCGGAATATTCCTTGGCATATTTTTGTTAAAGCTGGTGCTGAACCTGTATAGTGACTATCAGCGATGATCCCACATGTGAATGTGTTCCAGGAATCCTTTGGTATACGATGTAAACCCAGAGCGAGATAACTTACCACAAATACAACGGAAAAAGCTTATTATAACTTTTGAGAACTAGCTGGAAATCTAGTCATAGTGCGTTGCCATTACTCTGTATAGCAACTGCGAGATAGTCTAACGAAAGGTGGTGGGCTTTTGACTTCTACTAAACTACGGAGCAAGCCAAATCAAGTCAAGTTGGGACCAACCACTCGTGTGGAGATAGTGAGTCAACTGCACCCGTGACACCAACCGTTTAACGTCATTCGACTGTCAGAGCTGGATCCATGGGGGAGAGCATTTTCATTGTGGTGCTTCCTCTTGGGGAGTAAATCCACCAGCTTAGGACCGTCTCCTCTTCGATCCCGATGTGTTTTCCCCTTCAGGAGGCTTTGCAGTTGAAAAAGTTCGAAAAGCTCAAAGCGTCCCCTCGGTAGGGCCATTCCTCTGGGGCGGTTCCTGTAGATGGACTAGTGTGTATGAAAACCGACCAGGCTATTAATCGGTGTTCAGTGCTTTGACATACTATACATATCATATATATGATATATAAGCGAGTAGATTAGCAAAAAGTCAAAATTATGGCACTTGGAGTCAACACAATAGGGAGTGTGGCTAAAACAGTGGAGTAAAGGTGTGGGTGGCTTCGGTAAATAAACGATTCAAGTCTCTGGGGCGATAGATGAACAAACAACTAAGCGATTTACTAAAGTCTGTAACAAGAGAGACATCCGATTTGAGCTAGTGGGGGCGCTGAATGGGTTGAATGCTCTGCCATCCAACTTACCAAGTTTGTTCGGGCAAGTGTTTCTTTTCGGCAGCAGGGACTACTTCGGGTACCTGGAATACGGACAGCGACCGCCATCGAAACCTTAAAACCGAGACACAGTTCGCTATTGTTTCCAGGACACTGTGAAGGGAGAAGGGGATCGATAAATAATACCTTGAAATCGCTAGTAAGACGCACTGAACAATAAAAAAAAACAATTTCCTCACCAACCCATATCAACCAAGTACAATGGAGTGAGGCTGTACTGGGAATACTATCATATTCAGCTTAGCGTCGACAAAAGCGGTATTAATGGATGTCTGTTACTGATCTCTCTTCTAAAGGATTCGTTCATGTAGTTGAAAACCTGACATCCCAACATTATAACACCTAATAAGGAGCATGCTCGTATCTCGGTTTGCATAACTGGTTTGTGTTCGCTAACTGGGGTCATTCGGTTGAAAACATTTCAAGGGAGAAGTCGATAAATAATACCTTGAAATCGCTAGTAAGACGCACTGAACAATAAAAAAAACAATTTCCTCACCAACCCATATCAACCAAGTACAATGGAGTGAGGCTGTACTGGGAATACTATCATATTCAGCTTAGCGTCGACAAAAGCGGTATTAATGGATGTCTGTTACTGATCTCTCTTCTAAAGGATTCGTTCATGTAGTTGAAAACCTGACATCCCAACATTATAACACCTAATAAGGAGCATGCTCGTATCTCGGTTTGCATAACTGGTTTGTGTTCGCTAACTGGGGTCATTCGGTTGAAAACATTTCATCTCCAATCGAGATGACAAAACCCATGCGTTTTCTTGGAAATACAGAATGCGAACAAGAAATCCTACAGACTAGTTCGACAGAATAAAAACTGAATAACTGGTTCGCCTTTTCCCCACGATGGTCTAAGGCCAGAACAAGGCTGCGATAGAACTAAGACAACCATCAATAACTTATAATAGATTTGGTGACCACAACTCCCAGACCGCTTCTCAGTTTGCGCCGTTAATATACTGAGCCGCTAACGGCTTACCTCGGATGTACTTCCCCTACCGGCTCCAGCGAAGGCATTGGGTCTCCGAGGAGTGCCGAGACAGTATGGGCAGCACTTTCCGCTAAAGAGTCGTGATAGTAGCCACCCTGAAAAGAGAGTATTGATTAACCTTTGTGATTCAGTCACATTCTAAAGGTGTCCACTCAGATTTCATTAAGGAAACAAACATCGTGCCGAGGAAACGAGCAATAAGGTTTCGCGATTATAGAACGGATGATGACCAAACGACAATGACAACCTACCTCCAAAGAGACGATTATTTTACCCTCCGCCAGACCCATAAGTTTGTGCGTGAAATGAGCAAACAAGGGCGGACTGACTTTGAGTTGACCCTAAAAAGTAGACAAAAGCTGAACGGCGTAGGATACATGCAGTATAGGATTCGGACAAGCATAAACTGCAAAAATGGTATTCAAAGCTCACCAGCGGACACCCATATGCACAGTCGTAACCGGCCGAAACGAGGATTAAGTCAGGATCAAACTGAAAAGTAATAATGGAGTTACGTGGTGAGATACTAAGTATGCACAAGGTACTATAGGCAATCAATCTAAAAGAGAACAGCTATCAGATTTATAGGGCTGAAGGGATTCCCGATCAAAGTAAGCGACTCAAAAAGATGCAGTTGGACGGCCTCCGAAACTGCGAATTCCAATGTTTCGATTCGTTCGCGGATCCTGCGATTATACCGCACATGAACAGAACGTAATGCGCCGCACAAGACTGATGTTTTGGCTGTCGGAATCCTGGGGAATTTTATCGTACAACTAATCGAACAATCCAAAGTAACTGTCTCATGAATCGTACTTCATTCAGTATTAAATTGAAACCCTGCCAAAAATGTTGATAATACATCAGTGCTTCGCCTATACGCGGTGTGCTCCGTCAACCAAATCCAGATGGTGACATGGGATTCCCTGACTTGAGTTATCGGTTCCACCTCTCTGGGACTATTTTGCAGGAATATATCGCATACAGATGAATGAACAATGAAGCACACGAAACGCATTTCTTAGAAGAGGAACTACACAATGAAAGACCATGCTGATAGAGGCCGAGCTTCCAAAAGCCCAATAGCATAAAATGAGCAACCAACGGCACTAGTGTATGACATAAGAGGCGCAAAAGGTCATCGTAAAAGGGAACAAACGAGTCCTCAACAGACTAATCTAAACAGACGGTTATGAGAAGTGCGCACATGTGGAACAACCAGCATCATCATCTTGAGAGATGGGCAGAGTACTAAAGAACAATTCACCTGACTTGGTTTTAACGAAAGACTCAACTGAATCCAGCTATATCTCTCGTTTATGACGTTCTTCTTTAAATAAATGTACTTCACAAGGAAGTTTCATGTTCAACTTGGTAAGATATTCAAGATGTCGCAGTATTTTCTCAAACGAACACACTGCTCATAGGGTTGCTGCAAACTTTTCGACAGCCCACGACTGGTCTAGCCCTTCTTGAAGCACATTGGATAGGCACAGTCCCGAGTTCCAGGAGAACGTTGGATTGACGGAAACTTGAGGACCAAACCTTTCTGATGAGCCCAAAGAAGGCAGAACCCGCAAAAATCACCCCGTTTTGTCGCCAATCTGTACCCCTACCTCTCGTAAAGCCTGGTCACCAAGGCTTCACAGCAGGAAGCGGACCCTCCTAGCTAAGCGCGATTAAGCTTTTGAAAAGTGAAATCAGATGTCGTCTCTGGCAGGATCCTGACATCCGCCCCTAATTCGGGTTCGCTGGTTACCCCTCTTGTATTACAAGCAATCAGGCGAATTTTTTCTTGGCAAAACATATACTCATAAGATTGTTAGAAACTCTCCACGGTGAGGTACTTCCATTGTGATTCTAATCTGCGGAAAGATCTTGTGAAAACTAACGAGCCAACCTCCTGGTGACCGTGGCATCATCCAGCGCAAGTTACTCGAGAACCGGGAGGATAATATTCAAGAGAATGAACCTGAGTTCGGCCCTGGGGGGTGCTGTGTTGACGATTTATATACCATCTCACATAAGTATCTATCCGTCCAACGGTCGAAAGTGTTATTTCATACTGATGTAAACGCTACTTATGAATGCAAAGAACACCAGGCTCGCCAGCGTCTATCGTTCGAAGGAGTCTCGCTTTAATAAATACCTCTTTCAAAAACGCTACAAGTTATTCCCCGTGAACGTGTAAAAGGTTGAGTTTCCCACATCCACCTATATCTGACAAAGTTGCCTCCTTCCTTTTGAGTTCTTTCGGGAAGTACCAGCGGAATCTCCTCTAAATACCTCTAACACCTGTCATCGAACGGCTCCAGGGGCATTCGCTCACATAAACCGGGTAAGCTGGGATCGAGTCCCTGGAGATATAAAGAATTTTGTACAACATTAGCATGAGCCTCACACATGCAGCGTGAGGGGCTTTATCGTAAAATTCCGTAGGATTGAATCCGAACCTTATAATTTAAAAACCTGACGGTCAATGTGGTCAGAGAACTCGCCCTCTCGGGGAAATTTATTTACCCTGACGTCTTGGTAAAAAGCGATTTTTACCAGTCTAAGGAGCTGATGTAGCATTTACTCCCCCCAACAATTACAGGGAGTAAAACGACAGAGTGTGTTCAACCCTAATATGTATCAAAAACGAGAATTTTGAGAATATAAGACCAAAAGGAGCTTTCAACCTTTGACCACTAATGTTTCCGAAGTGTTAACAGCGTCTGGCGCATATAACGAAGGAAGGTTTTCGGGAAGATAGACACAACCTTGGAAAACGACCTATTAACTTTCCAGAGGTGACGATGACAAAGGTCGCACTCTGGATTTCGGGGCCTCAGAGCCAATTCTGCCAAATCGGATGCTGAGTGGAAACATCCTAAAAACAATCAGGAAATGACCTATCGGTGAAACATGACAGCCTCAATCAACAAGCTCAGCTATGTTGGCAGCTGCCGTTTCCTTCTATGGAGACACCGAGGTGAGTTACATAGCTGGATAGAAGTACTGACAGTTCGGACACGTGTTCGATGGTGATGATGCACCAAACTGTTGTCATCAGTGGATAGTTATTCACATCACCTATCAGCAAACGATCGGACGGTTCCAGCATGAAGTCTTTCACTTACACCGTTTATATCAGCCTAGTACAAGCCATCGTCTTCCATTAATGCCCCAAACCATATCTTCTTAGTGTCAGTGAACAACAATGTGGCACATTGGTACACTACCCGGTTATTCAGGGCTACCAACTACTCCATTTCTATCATCCTGCAAGCTGTTCTTGAACATCGTTCATATCAAACTACAAAGCGATATGTATGATAAGTACGAAGCCCAGAAAATGAGTAGGCTACCATTTACAACAATAACAACAAAATAACAAATCCACTGGTGCCAGTGACAGTCTAGCTGAAATCACAATAAAGAATTACCAGGCCGGTCACTGGCTAGAAAAGTGTAAACTTACCTCATAAGCCACAGGCAGGATCAAGCGATGAAAAATTGCTAAATATTCCGCATCCCCGAGGTCATCCTGGAAGTGATCAAGGAGGGACAAGTAAAAAGTCAACTTAGAGTAGTACGGCTGGAAAAAATTAACCCAACGGAATAGTTGGAGAATTGAGAGATGTGTATAAGAAAGGAACAATGTACTCAAGACTGCGATGAGCTTATAGACACTTACTCCACCGTTCAGGGGAATATTAATGTTGTAGCCACGACCGCGACCACTTCCAATGAAATCAAAGTTTGACTCGCGTAAACTCGGCCAAAATGTTTGTTCATCGTAACGGTGGATGGAGATATATAGAACTCTGAGGACAAACGAGGAAATATCGGTCGAAATTTAGAAAGTATAGAAAATTAAAAAAGGTCAGAAACAGATGAAATAGAAAATCCAGATAAATGTATGAACTTACAACGTATACAACACTGAATTTTTAAATTTCCCAGTGTGCTCTTTAAGAGGTCCAAATAAGGGGCTTGTTAAATGCGGAATATATTCAGTGTTCCAACATCGAAAATAAACCTATGAAATCCCGAGGTCCAGAACCACGTAAAGTAAGGGTATCAAATAAGAGCAACATCCCGAGTCTGTCAATCCGAAAAGTGCCAGCAGAAACGACACATTGATATGCACCTTTTGGTAGCAAGGTAACGTGATTTAGAGTTCATAAGGTAGGACCGTTCAAGCCTAACACCCTTTCGGTGCCTAGATGCCGCACCACCAAGAGGTTGCACGAGGGCTGGGATACCGCCAAGCCTAGATAGGGGAAATCGAGAGGCAGATGTCGGGTTCGAAACACGGGTCTTCTGGTCAGTGTGTCTCCACAGCTTATCAAACTCAGGACAATCGAAAACCAGCTGGCGAACAGACTTGCAGTCGCCATATTACAGGTGTTCAATTTGGACATTGGATCATTCGTAGCAATGTCCGTATGAGACTAAATGGTAAGTTACTGAATCACTAACAACCGCTGTCGCACCGTCAGCTTTTTGAGTTACTAGTTCCACATATTCCCGGTACAGTTTGAATTTCCTAGAGTTTTCCCAGAGTGCATACAACTGTCAAGCACAACCACACACAAGGACTGTTAATCTATGTCCTTCAATCTTTCTGACATCAAAGTTGTTGGACCAAACTGTTGAGGAAAAAACACATCAACCAGTAGGTGTCAAGACTTCAAAAGCGGCAACACAACTGTTGCAACCGACAACAACTGAGTCAACACCGGGAAATCTTTGAACGTACCAAAATGCAAAATTAATAAACTGTTTCATGTTCGAATGGCTGATAGAATGACTTCTGGATAAAGCATAGTTGAAAATTACATACCTTGAGCTGTCATAAAATGAGTACTGAGTTGCCTGTCCGTGATGTACGTCCCAGTCAAGTATGAGTACCCTGAAAAAGAGACCTCCAGTGATAACTCGCAGCACTCTGAGGCATCAAAGAAATAAATCGACCCCACCTCGCAAAAAAAGCGGTGGGTGTGCAATGCACTGTGATATTTTCAATAACAGTTGGGCTACTTGGAAAATATCGGTAACTACGACTAACGGGAGCGTTCAATCGAAAGAGTGGCCATGCCATATCAGAAAACATAAATATTTACGTCAAAAAGGCTAATCTAAACAGGATCTGTCGATAACAACTGTACATAACGTACCGATTGTATTCTAGTTTGTCCAAAGCATATTGAGCCGCAAGTGCAACGTTGTTGAAAATACAGAATCCGCACGCCTCGTCTTCCATTGCATGGTGTCCAGGGGGTCTAGGAACAATGAGTATAGTACCAACTAGAAAATTTGAACATAGGTGCTACTGGATTTGCTGTAATCTCCCAGGGAGAAAAGGGGTTTTTTCACCCCATCTGGGGGTGTATCTAAGCTTGTTTATACTAAAGCGTGAATGAAATGGACCGCCACTGTCAGCCTTCAACTACAGTGGCTTCTCTAGGGGGGATACTGTATCTGAAAAAATGTCGACCAATATACGCTTGCAAGTGAGAGCTCCCGGAAGCCACACAATCGTGAAGACACACGAAGAAAGAATCATTAGGGGTAATAAGCCAAAAGTGATGGTCGCAGAGTACTTTGTGACCCATTTCATATCACAAGACGAGTATGCCTGTTCATTGCAACCTCTTTTTCGAAAGGCTTTAAGGGAGGTCGATGAAAGACCAGGAACTAACCACGGGCACCAATGGAGGACAGTGTCAGCGAAGAATCACACATGCGATAATGTCAACAATGAGCTAAGAAGCAGCAGTCGATCAAAACCGGTATACACTGAATCAAAACTGGGGTCAACTTATTGCCCTAGTGAGCTAAAACCCGACTACATATTATCAATCAGTCATTCTTAGTTACCTGCAAGAGTAGTGCGAGAATCAGTGGTCGTTCACCTGTAGCACCCTTTCGGTGCCTAGCTGAGTGCCACCCGAAGGAAGCACGAGTATTTAGATACTGTCAGGTTTCCCAAGTCTAAACAGGAGTAGTCGAGGTGCGGAGGTCGAGTTCGAAACACGGACCTTCTGGTCGGTAAATTCACGCTCTACCCACTGAACCATCTCGCCCCGAAAATCAGTGGTATCACTGTGAGACAGTGTATGTGCCTCAGTACTAAGTGTACACCTAATACAACCAACCAGCTTCGAACGTCAGAACACTCGGACGCATTTGAGCCAGGTGGAAAGCCCTACCGATGCAACAAAGACGAGCGATTACATCAAACTGGGACTGAACGGCAAAACTAGGACGTAATAGCTACACATTTTGTGGCAGGTGTTGTCTCAGGTGTTGGTGAACTTTCACATATCTGAACGAGTTAAGCGTAACCTCTGATACAAAGATATCTTGTCGCCTTTAAAAATCGCTCCTAAATTTTGTGAATGGATTCGAATCAGCATTAAACGGCTGAGTCTGCAAGCTATCTCAAACAACAATTGTGCTATACGGATGATTGTATTGAACCTGAAGGTTCAGAAGGAAAAAAACGATTTCGCATCCAGAATGGCAAACGGGAAGCTAAAGTAAGTCGAACGGAGCTAAGAATAACTAAAACTTAAACCTGTAACTAATATGAAAAACAATACAGGAGGAAAGTACCGCAAACCTGTCACGGAGAAGCAGGAAAAAGGCATGAAAAGGAATTATGCCTCTTACTCACCGAACAAGACAAAATGCGTTTCGAACCTCGCCACGATGAACCGACTCCACTGCTTGAATAAGAGATCCGACAGCAAGTCGCGCAGCCACGTTCGTATGCTTCAAATTAGAACAAAATCAAGATGTCAAGCCTATGGTGCGGGCTAACAGGAGATACCGCACCGTGGCATGAGGGTTGTTTAAGCTAGAGTAACATGCAGAAGACCCGATCGTTGCTACTCAACCTACCGTTGTCTTTCAACGGATGTGCTCTAATGTGATACACTACGAGCTCAAGATAGCTCAGTTGTTAGGGCGCAAACTTACCCACGGGAAGGTCCGCCGTTCAGACCTAATCCCTGCATCTCGACTGCTCCTGTCTAACTTGGGAATCTGGTAGTAGCTCAGCCCTTGTGAGTTCTTCGAGTGTCACGGCAGCTATGTACCAAAAGGGTGTTACAGCTTAACTATATTAGTACGTATTACCATGCACTACCGAGGCACGCTAAAAAGTGCACCAACAGCGACAGTTTAATAGGTGTTCGAGGGGCGAAGGAGTTCTCACCCTTCGAAATAAAAACTACAACCTAAAACATATGGTGACCTAGAGTCGGTTGAAGTGGTCCCTTCGGAATATCGGAATAATACCCATTGCACCGTATGCTGGCAGATATCAACTGCCACAGTGCTCATGTTGTCCGTCACGTTTAAAATCTTACTGTCCATACCAGTGAATTTGGTGCTCGTCCACTAATGCGATAATAGATTTCGCGAGATCCCAACAAATTGCCTCGAAATATAAGCTCACTAGAAAACAACTGTATCCCTACACAAATATTATGGTAACTGTTGCGAGAGTCGAGTGGTTCCAGGTCAAGATTAGAAGAGAGAATAGGAGAGCATAATGTACGCTTCGATCGTCTAATAACGGCGGTACATTTGCTGAAAATATAGTGAGAATTACCAGTTAATGGTGTATGAAATGTATGGTCATGACAGTAATCTCCCACACCGATTTGCAGGTGGACAGCCGTTACACCAATGGACGCACGACAGGTGACCAGTGTTCTTTGGATTATGACTGCGCTTGTGAGATTATACCCGGAGGGAGGAGAAAAGCAGTAAACTTGCAAACAAAAATCAGTTCAAGCGATACTCAGAAGACCAAAAGCCTTTCGGGGTGCCTCGAAGTGCTTTCAGCTCGAGCAAACTCTGAAATTTTGGGCAAAGCGGTCGCAACATCATCATCATTATCATCA